GCCGAGGGACCTGGAGGGGAGGGACGAGGCCCCCAGCCCCAGGACGATGGGAGGGGGCAGTGCGAGAGCCCAGGGAGGCAGCCAGGACCTGCCGACTACCATCAGCTCCCGCTCAGTCGCCTTCCTGCGGACACGCTGCCAGATGTCAATGGCGAAGAGGGTGCTGCTGCTGTTGAAAATGGAGGTGAGTGAGCTCATGAGGGCCGCCATGATCACGGCAATCATCAGGCCCCGAAGCCCTGTGGGGAGAGAGAAGCACCCTCTGGGATAGCAGTCCCGCAGGCACCAGCTGGGGCTGGCTGGGGGCTACGCCACTAAGCAAGCTAGCGCTGCATCCAAACGTCCCTCTGGGATACAGGCGCCCTTGAGGACTGGCTGGGGAATGAGCAGCAGGAGGGCCTATAGGCCTACAGGCACCAGCTGGGGCTGGCTGGAGGCCAAGAAGAGCATTGGAGCGCCAGGCTTCACCTTCAGTCCTAATGCCTGGGGGAGAAGAAAACCCTAGGGACCTAATCTCCCTGCCTAGACCTGGAAATTAAGAAACGCACAGGCCTGGAGTCAGGAGAACCATAGCTGAGATTTGGCTTCTCTGCCACAAGTCCCTTTCCTGCTCTGTTCTCTAGGATGAGGAGACTAAGCCTTGCCCTCCTGACCTCACGGGGCTAGTGGAAAGACCTCACTGTTCTCATGGGAAAGTACAACTTTACGCCCAAGGACTGAGGTCCAACGAAGGGAAGGGATTTGCCTGAGGTCACATAGTGACCCAGGGCAGTCAAGCAACAAACATTTGAGAGCCTACTATGTGCCAGGCACTGTGCTAAGGGCTGGGGATACACAGACAAATAATCAAGGCATTGCCCATCCCAGGAGAGGCATAACTAGGGAGAGTCAGCTGGGATTTTGTCCCAAGGTGGACAATTTGGAGGGTGCTGTCAACACCTGAGGGGAGGGGGCTTTTTCTCCATAGCGGCAGTGGCAGAGACAGGAGCTCTGTATCCCTTGCCCATGCTGTCACCAGCCTCATTCACCTGTGCCCTTGTTCCCAAGCTTTTCTCTGCCCCTACAGACAATAGCATCTAACCCAGGAGGCGATAGTTTCTTCCCCCGATGTCCCAGGGTACAATTCCTCACCTCTCACAATCTGCCCCCCCCTCCATTTACCCCAGCTGTAAAGGTTTCTAGATATGGGCTTGCCTCTTACCTGCCCCTCCTTTTATGCCCCTCCCTACCAGGCTGTCCCCTCAGACCCTAAGGCCAGGTGAGGCCTCACCTACAGGCATGAGCTCCATCACCAATTTGGGGTATGCGATGTTAGAACAGCCCACTTGGGCCCCACAGATGGCCTGGCAGATGTCAGGGTCCACACAGCCAACCACATCTGTAAAAGCCAAGGCAGAAGTCAGGACTGAGGGTAGGCTGACCCCACTATGTCATGAACAGGGTAGCCATCCACCCAGAGGATGGTGGACGTAGGGCAGGGCCAGGCCTGTGCTGGGAGGGAGCAGACAGGGGCCTGCGCCTTGGGGCATAGGGAAACCCCCTGCCCCAAAGTCCCTCCTCTCCAGGTCATCCACAGAGCCTGGCACCCATGCCTAGAAGCCTACTCCTTTGGGTTAAGGCACTGGCCCTTTGGGAAAATAGAACACTCCAGAGGAAGTCATTTATTAAGCCCTTTTCAGTCATTAACAGTTTTGGAAAAATTCTAGAGGCTAAAAAAGTCAGAGCTGAGAAGATCTTTAGAGCAGAGAAGATCAGAACTGGGAAGGGCCCTAGAACAGGGAATGTCAGAGCTGGGAGGGGCCTTAGAACAGGGAATGTCAGAACTGGGAGGGACCTTAGAACAAGGAATGTCAGAGCTGGGAGGGGCCTGAGAATGGGGAATGTCAGAGCTGGGAGGGGCCTTAGAACAGGGGATGTCAGAGCTGGGAGGGAGCTTAGAACAGGGGATGTCAGAGCTGGGAGGGAGCTTAGAACTGGGAATGTTAGAACTGAGTGGGAGGAATCTTAGAACATAGAACATCAGCAGTAGGAGGAAACTCAGAACATAGAACTTCAGAAGGAGGAGGAACCTTAGAACATAGAACACATAAATGTCCTGGGGCATGTCAGACCTAGGAGAACCTTTAGAAACCACTTAGTTTTGCAGCAGAGAAAACTGAGAGTTGAGGTCCAGAGCACGTAGATGATGTGGACCCTCTCTTAGTAGGCTGGGCGTCTCCCAGCCCCACCAGGACCCTTCCCCTGGAGAATCCCTGCCCATCCTCCCAATGTCTCCCCTCTGAGGGTCTTCCCATGATTCCAGTGGATGGCTGCTACCTTCTTCCGGCCCTGGGTTGTTCTCATCCCATGGTCTTTTTTGCCTCTTAGCCCCTCCCCCCCCAGACACTAAACTGAGCTCCAGGAATGCCTGGACAGGGTCTTATCCAAACTTTGTGTCTCCCTCACAGCCTAGAGAAGGAATCTGCACACAGAAGGGGCTTAATCAATGCTGGCTAACCTGAATTGTGACTAGAATCTGAGTGTCTGGCCTCCCTGTACCAGCTCTCTCCACTCCACCAAGGTGGGCAACCAGCAGAGGTGGGTGGGGCTAGGACTAAGTGGGAGAAGCCTAGAACCTGGGACCCTACCCAAGGAAGGCAGGCATTGGGGCATCTGGGCTGCAGCATCAGGCCATTGGCAAGGACAGATTTCAGCTTGATGTCAGAAAAAAGCAGCCTACCCATGAGAGCTGTCCTAAGTGGAGTAGGCTGCCAAGAGGTAGTGAGCTCCCCATGCTCAGAGGTCTTTAATCAGAGGCAGGATGGTCTCCTGTAAGGGGAGGTGTAAAGTGGGTTCTTTTTTTTTTAATTATGTGTTCTTTTTTTCTTTTTTAGGCAATTGGGATTAAGTGACTTGCCCAGGGTCACACAGCTAGTAAGTGTCAAGTGTTTGGTCTGAGGCCAGATTTGACCTCAGGTCCTCCTGGCTTCAGGGCTGGTGCTGTATCCACTGCGCCACCTAGCTACTCGGGTTTTTTTTTTTTGCCTAGGCAGTTGGGGCTAAGTGACTTGCCCAGGGTCACACAGCTAGTATGTGTTATGTGTCTGAGGCCAGATTTGAACTCAGTTCCTCCTGAATCCAGGGCTGGTGCTCTATCCTCTGTGCCACCTAGCTGCCCCTATGTAAAGGGGATTCTTGTTCTGCTGTGGGGGAGGGGACCAGAGCCCTGGAAGGGCCCTGCCAGCTCTGAGCCCCAATTCCTCCTTGCCCCTGGAGACCAGAAAGCACGTCCCATACCTGGGTACAGAGCCCGGCTGATCATCCCGGGCATGACAATGAAGAACATGGGCAGGATCTTCAAGTAGCCCCCGAACACGGAGCCCCCCTTGGCATGGGATAAGTTCTTGGCTGACAGGGATCGCTGCACAATTACCTGTGAGGGGGAGACGGGGAGCAGAGGTCGCGGGGGTTCAAGGACTGGGCGGCCTTGTGGTGGGAGCCGGGGCCTTGCTGGCCCATGGCACAGACTGCAGCCAGCAACAGGCAGCTCGCCCTCAAGCCCTGGCCTGGGGCCGCCTGAGCTTCTCCCTGGGCACAGACTCAGCCCTGACCTTGTGTTGCTTGACTCTGGTAACAGCCCTGTGAGGGGCAGGGCAGGTGTAAATGTCCTCATTGGCCAGATGAGGAAACTGAGCTCAGCCTCGAAGTCGCTTACTCAAGGTCACAGAAGGAGCTGGTGGAAAGTGGGACTCTTGACTCCAAGCACTTTCGGGGGTCTGGGGTGGGGAAACTCTGTGATTTCATTGGTTTAGGGAGCTCCCAGAGAGGAAACTTCCTCCACCGGGGCGGGTGGACAGTCGCCCAGAGAGCGCTGCCTGGGGCTTTAAGAGGTTGAAGGGCTTGCTGGAGGTCACGCAGCCAGTGAGGGTTAGAGGCCAGACTTGAACCCAGGTTGTGCTATGTGGCCCATGCCACTGCCTGGCTGGCAGGCACTAGACCCGTAGTTGAGCTGAAGTTCCTCTAGACCAGACTCCTTCTGCCAGGTAGTCATGACCATGGGCTCTCCTTTGGGGCCTGCTTGTGCCTCAGCCCCTTTTCCAGGAGCAGTGGGCCTGGCTGGGAGCCCTGCCAGGGAGTGTGACTGCTGAGGGCTATGGTACCTGGTCTGTGCACCAGCACCAAGTGGCCAGCACCGTAAGCCCAAAGATGAGGCCGGGCCATGGGATGTCCCCCGTGACAGGGTCCCGGAGCAGGTGGAAGGCATCGGACCGAGGCAGGTGGCAGGTGGTGTTGGGCACAGTGATGTTGGCGATGGCAGCGTTGTACTTCTCCTGCAGGCCTGGGTACCAGCCGACTTCCTTAAACCCTGCAAATCCAGAGCATCTGCTCATGGGGAACAGGGCACCATGGAATGGAGCACCTCCCCGTGTCCCCTTGCATGGCATGGGGCGGGGAGACCACGTCGTGGGCTCTCTATGGGGATCCTGGGGAAGGAGGGGGCGTGGCCCCTGTCCTCAGGGAGTGGTCAGGCCCATCCCCATCCCCCGCCCCAGCCCCACAAGGCCTTACCTAAGAACATGAGGACCAGTGCTCCCCCCACCATGATGACAGTCTGCAGAGCATCCGTGTAGATCACAGCAGTCAGGCCCCCTAGGACCAGAGGAGGGCAGGGATCAGTCCCACGACCAATCAGGTTGTCCCAGCTTCTGGGTGACCAGGGGAGAGTGCTTGGCTTGACTGTTCCTCTCTGCTCTCTCTCTCTCTCTCCCTCTCTCCCTCCTTGCCTCTCTCTGTCTCTGTTTCTCTCTCTGTGTCTGTCTCTCTCTGTCTCTGTCTCTCCACACCTCCTTCTTCCCCTGTCTCCCCCACTTTCTTCTCCCTTCTCCTCCTGTCGGCCCATCTGCATCGACTCCCTCTGGGTGTCAATTCCTGGCTCCCAGAGCCATTACCAGCAATGGTGTAGATGGCTGTCACAACCAGGAGGATGACTGTTGTTAGATAGAGATTCCAGCCCAAGGACACCTGGATGAACAGGGCTCCAGAGAAGATGTCAGTCTGCAATGAGATCAGATGGAGAGAACTGTCCTGGGGGAGGGGAGGCTCCCAGGCCAGGGCCCCATCCCAGCTTAGGCATCCCAGGCTCTGGCCCTCACTCCTCTCAGAGAGGCCTTGGCTTGGCGGAAAGTGAGTTGAGAAAGGAGGCAGAGGGAAGGAGGGAACAGGCCCTGGGTTCCAGTTCTGGACCTGTCACTGACTTGCAGTGTGTTGGTAAATAAATCCCTTCTCTGAGCCTCAGTTTCCTCATCTTTAAAGTAGGGGTCATAATCCCTCTCCCTCCTCCCTCAAGAATGAAAAAGACAAAATGAGGTAAATGATGGAAGGGCCAGTGTATGATTACCCTCCTCCCCCCAGAGTGTCTAGCAGTGTGTGCCTTGGGGAAATAGAACCCCAGGGCAGCCTCATGAGCAGGAACATCCACTCACTGAAATTTTGGTGAAGATGTACAGGATGAGGGACAGGACAGACATGTACACTTGGATCCTCTGGCCCCCAAATCGCTTCTTCAGGTACTCAGGCATCGTGACGACCCCTGCTGCAATGTAGACGGGGACAAAGACCCAGCCGAGTGCCACGAGCAGCCAGGTCGCCTGGGCAAAGGCAAAGGGGAGGAAAGCATGAAGCCAGAGCTCTCTCTTGCTGGACCCTAGACATAGTGAAGTAGTTGGCTGCCTACCCAGGAGGGATCAGGGTCTCTTGGTCCAGAGGTTAGGAGCCCTAGGAGTAGTGCCTTGATTCTGCCACCAACTATCTGTGTGATCTTAGGGAAGTCACTCCCTTACTTTGTGCCTCAGTTTCTCCATTGGTAAAATGGGGGGGTCTGACAATTTCTAAATTTCCTCACGGTTCTGACATTTGTGGAACCGTGTTCCAAGATCCTATGTTCTAAGTGTATCTAGAGTTTTGAGAGAAATGATTATTTCTCTTTTTTCTTAATAACCGATTACTAATGAGGAGAGCCTGGATTTTTTTCACTTTCTATTTCCTCATTCTTTACTAGATCAAATCAGCCCCTGAAAAATAGGTCTGATAATGAGATTGGATTTAACATTCTCTTCAATCTTGTTGTGTTCTGTTCAGGCTTGGAGGTGGGGTAGATCCTTTGTCTAGATTGCCCAAGGCTGGGGGTAGTCTGGGAGTAAGAGGACATAATCAAATAATGTCCCCCCCCCCCCCCCCGACCCTTCATTAGAATAGGCCCACCTCTCATTATAATATTAATTCTTATCTTTAAGTGTTAACCAATCAGAGTTGAGTACTACCTGTTGGGAACACCCACTCTTCCAAGGGCATATAAGCCTCAAGAGGCCGCCATGATCCATCTTTGATTCACAAGAGACAGCCAAACGACCATCCTTTTATTAATTATTCACTAGCCATAATTAATGAAGTGATTAATTGCCCAGGAATTATGTCTCTCCAACTTTTCATACATCACAGTTTGCAGTAAGTTAGAGAGAGGAAACCAAGCCCAGATAAGCATTTCTTATCTCAGTTAAATCAAGAGTGGCTATGCTCATGTTCCCTGGGGATCCCAAGCTCCCAGCCTGGGGTGGGGATTACTCCCATGGGCTACTCACATTCCATTCGAAGCCACCCACAGCCAGGCCCCCGGCTGCCCCTGTCCCAGCCAAGCCGATGAATAAGCCACTGCCCACATTGCTGGACATCAGAGAGGCACCGATCTGAGAAGTAGAGGAGAGAGATCAGAGATAGGGGCTGAAGCCTTGGCTTCTGGGTAACTAGATTTGGGAGGTGGGCTCCCAAATGGATGGAGATGAGGGGTCATTGTGTCAATCTTCTGGACAGGGGGTCAGAAGAGTTAGAATCTCTAGACAGCCAGAGATAGAGAGACAGAGACAGACAGGGATAAAGAAAGACAGAAAGTCAGAAAGAGACAGAGAAAGAAAGACAGAGAGAGTACATCTAGATGTTTTAAGGATTATGAAGTCTTGGGCAAGAAACTGAAGTCCTTTGGGGCATATAGATGGTATTTTCGTCACTCTTGCTAATTGACATTAAAGGTGTCAAAAGATGTGCAGGTCCATCACTGGAAAATGGTCCTGGGAAGGTTTGCCTTCTTTGAAAGGGGCAGAGGAGGTAACCAGCATAGAGCAGTGAACCCAACTTTGATTCCTGTTAATGAGCTTCTTATGATAGGAATGGCTTGTGAGCACAGAGGAAAGGGGAAGTGATAGTGAACAGAAGGCTGATGCAGCGGGAAAGGTCTTTTGTTTGGAGTCAGAAGTGCAGGAGTCAGTACCTGGCACAGAGTGGATACTTAATAAAATCTTATTAGTTGATTAATCAACCTGGGTTCAAATACTACCTCAAATACTTTTTAGCTACATCAGTCAGTCAATAAGCATTTATGAAGCACCCACTATGTGCCAGGCACTGTATGAAGCTCTGGGGATACAAAGAAAGGTTAAAACAATCCCAAAGAAAATACAAAAAAGAAAAAAAAAACAGAAGAAAGACAGATAGCCTTGCCCTCGAGGACCTCACGGTCTGAAGGGGGAATCACCGAGCTAACAACCATGCACAAAGAGGGTATAGACAGGATGTGCTGGAGAGAATCAATAGAAGGGAGGCATCAGCATTAAGGGGATTAGAAAGGGCTTCTGGGGAAGTGACCTTAAGCAGGTCTCACTCTGCCTCATTGTATTTCCATCTCTTTATTTGTAAATTGGCCGAGTTAGACTAAATGATTTCTCAAGGCCCTTCCAGGTCCAAGCCTTTGGAGCCCATGACTCCATGGATGCTGAACAATGGTTCGACTCAGATTCAGGAAGGCCTTTGGTTCCTTGTGAACAAAATGGAGATAAGGGACTAAACATTAGGACCATTAGCTGGGCTGACAACTGGATGGAAGGAGATTGTCCTGAATGGTTCTGTGTCAACTTGGAAGGAGGTCTCTGGTGAAGTGCCCCAGGGATCTATGCTTGCCTCTGTTCTGTTGAACATTTTTATCAGTGATTAGGAGAAAGACATGAATAGCATGCTCATCAAATCTGCAGATGAAACAAAGCTGGGAGGTACAGCTAACACACTGGATGGATGACAGAGTCAGGATTTAAAAAGGTCATTGAGAGGCTGGAGCACTGGGCTGGATCGAATTAGATGAAATTCAACAGGATAAACAAAGTCTTTGCACTTGGGTATAAAGCAGCTTTGCAAGTATGAGGTGGGGAAGATGTGGATTAGGCAATAGTTGTTCTGTAAAAGATCTGAGGGTGTTAGTGGACCACAAGCTCAATATGAGTCAGCAGTGGGATGGAGCTACCCAAAAAGCTAATTCTATCTTGGGCTGCATTCAGAGAAGCAGAGCTTCTAGGAATAGGGATGTGGTCATTCCACTCCCCTTTGGCCTGGTCAGACCATACCTGGAGCCCTGTGTAAGTTTTGGGTGCTATCTGGGGGAGATGGAGACTTCCAGAGAAGGGTGAGCAGGGGATATTTAGCTTGTGCCCTTGTATGTGCTGGTAGGAAAAGTCTTCTCTCAGGACTTCCTGTGTGAGCTGTCTGATTATCAGGGTGTTCATTCAACAAATGTTGAGCCCCTAGCACATGTGGTTGGCTTTGTATGGGGGACTCCTTCCCTGTGGGACCTCAGGAGGCTGGACATAGAAACACCCTAAGCTTAAGCCACTGACCGGCCTGTCCCTCGATGGAGGCTACAGTCTCCCTCTAAGGCAGCCCTGAGGAATGGGAGAAGGAAGCCCTGGAGAGGTCACACACACTGGGGCAGGGTCAGCATCTACACCCAGTTGCTACGATACCCGCCCGCCTGGGACTTACCGGCCACCAAGTCATGGACCTCCCAGCCAAGAAATAGCCCCCAACGGTGCTTCTGCTGGCCCGCAGGGAGGACTGGAAAGGAAAGAGCCAGAGATGAGCCTATCGGAGCCAAAGCCTCCCTTTCCCTCTCTGAGCTCCCAAGGCAGGCCACATGCTCAGCAGGACCACACCTGCCTTCTCCCAGTGTGTGACCTCCCTCCTCCGCCCTTCCCCTGTCTCCTGACCTCTCCTCCCCACCACTCATCCCGGAAGCTCTTTCCCTCTTCTTTCTTTCAAAACCTGGTTTAAGATTTTAATTTTGGGGGCAGCTAGGTGGTGCAGTGGACTTAAGTTCAAATTTGGCCTCAGACACATAGCACTCACTATCTGTGTGACCCTGGACAAGTCACTTAACCCCATTGCCTCAACAAAAAAAAAAAATTGGTTTTCCAGTTTCTGTCTCAAATGAATTGTTCCTTGTGTATCAAAGTGGAGATGGCATATCCTTGCTCTTCCTCTGCCTTTTCCTCCTGGGCTCCTCTCCCTCTCCCGACAGTGTAGGGGGAAAGGGAAGCTCAGTAAACGTCTTCTGATTGATTGATTCCCTCTGTAACCTCCAGTCAGTCTCTTCCCCTCTCTAGGCCTCAGTTTCCCTCTCTGGAAAAGTGGGACTAAATGATCTCTAAGGCTTCTCCCAACTCTGACCTTCTATGTGCTATCCCAAGACAGAGACTATTTCTAGCCTGATTCTATCATTCTCTACTTCCAAATCCCCCACAGACTAGACTCAGTCCTATGAATCCACTGGGCAGGTCTCCAGCTGTGGAAGGATGGAGATGTGTCAGTGGCCCTGTGCCAACCCCCAACCCCCTTGCCCCAGATATGCCTTGTCCCTCCTTCTGACCACCCCTGGCCCCCAGGGGCCCAGGCTCACCCAGATCCCCAATGCCAGCACGAAGACAAAGTAGAAGACGACAACCAGGATGTCATAGACGTTGAGGATGGCCCTGGCCTCCTGGGGAGGCTCTGCTGGGGCCTCTCGAGCTCCTGCCTCCATCTCCCACAGCGCCTGTGGGGCTCAGGGCCAGTGTGGACTTTGAGGTGCACCCAAGTCAACAGCCTTCATTCCACCCCTGTAATCATTAATCAGCCCTGGCCGAGAGGGAGAACGCTTAGGGTGGGGCTGAGGGTTGTGGATCCAAACTCCCTGCCAGCCAGGGTCCTCCCTCCTCAGCTGTAGTCAGCCCAAGGAGGAAGAGAGAGCAAAAGGAAAGAAGGAAGGAAGGAAGGAAGGAAGGAAGGAAGGAAGGAAGGAAGGAAGAAAAAGAGGGAAGAGGAGAGAAGGATCACAAAATCTTGAGAAAGGTGGATCAGTGGAAACCTGAAAGGGCTTTGATTGTTTACCGGGAAAACCAAACAGGAATCTGTGGAATACTATTGAGGCACTGAGGTGGAGGTCTATGGGTATGGAATGTTGCATAAATCGACATACACAGTTAATGTGTTGATCGGTTTTGTAGCAATTTTTTTTGTCTTTGTTTCAAAAATTTGTTGGTTGTGAGGAGAGGGCAACATTTTATTTAAATTAAGAAAAAGCTCTGAATGGCCCACAGGCATTGAAAACAAGGTGGAATGATGCCCATCCAGAGCTAATGTTTAGTATAATCCACACATAGCTTTATTAAGCACCTATTGTGTGCCCAGTCCTGTGCTGAGGCTTTCCAGAAGCCCTGGGGTAGAAGGAATGAAGGAGGAATAACAACAAGGTGGAAGGCACATTTCCACTGCTATCCTGGGCCTTTGTCATTTTACTGAAAGCTTAGGGACCTGGTTCAGTGAGCCAAGGACCTGCCCTGGCATGGTGGCTAGGCCTTGGAGGCCCAGGTTATTTGACGACATGTGTTCTGAATCTGGCTCTGCTTCTTGTGGCCAATGTGACCTTGGGAGAACTCCTTTCCCTCCCTGGGCCTCAGTTTCCTCCTGTCTAAAATGAAGGGACTGGATTATATGAGGTCTGAGGTCCCTTCCCAATTCCAAGGCATATAATTTGGGATCAAGGATTAGTTACTGGAACTGTGACTTCCATTTACTCTAAGTCCACTTTCAATTTCTGGGTCTCAGTTTCCCTTTCTGTAAAATGGCAACAATGATCCTTCTCCCAGGCTCTTGTAAAATCAAGATGAGATGGATGATGGATGAGCAAGCATTTTAGGAGCCTGTATGAATCTGAGTAGAGAGGAATTGGTGTATGAACACCCCCACACCCCCAGCTTAGCCAAGGAAGCTCCAGCGGGAAAGGCCAGATAATGAGGTGTAAAGTATAAAGAGGAAATCTCCCTTCCCCCACACCCTTAAGAAGTGTGAGTGATGGCAGATGACAAGTCATGCTTTTATGAAGTGTTTATGAAAATTCTTTGATGGAATAGGAGACTGGGCACTACCTAGATGGCCCTTTAAAAAAAAAAGCTATGTTCTCTAGCTCTGAAGTCGATTCAGACAGGAGACAGCGGAAGAAACCGATCCCCTGAGATTTACACCTCTTGGAGGTAGAGAGATTTTTCTCCCTTATTCCCCGCCCCCAACAGTAATTGGCCATGATGCTTCCTTCCCACATCTAGTAGGAGACAACACGTCCATCAGGGAGCAGGGACACACACCCTCTGGACAAACTGGAACCCAGAGAATCTGAGGCAGTAGCTGGACCCAGGAAGTAGCTTTAGGGAACGGGACTTCTGGCAGCAGAGAAGAGAGTTTTCTCAAGGTAGAATGAGCCCTGGCAATCTGGCTGTGGAAAAGGAGCAGATCCTGGGAGCCCCGATGACATATCTGCCTGCCTAGCAGAGATATTGTGCTAAGGAAAAGCAGCCTGATGGCTCCCCAAAGGGTGAATGGGGAACTCATGTGGGATTCAGGGGGATGTTTGTCTTACAAAGCCAGGCAGGGGCAGAGAGAAAGAAGTGAGTCCAAGATCAGATTGGGAGGATGGACAAAGACAGAAACGAGAACAGAGACTGGCTATGCATGAGTGGGTGGGAGGGGGCAGGGGAAGGTTGGAAGCAGGAAGGCTGACTGGTAACAGACTGGCTACACATCATTCCTCTCTTTCCTCTCCCTGGAATCGCTGCCCTGCTCCCTTCCCTCCACACCCCCTTATCATCTGCTCCCTCTGCCTAGGCTCTACCTGTGGAAATCCTGCCTGACCTTCAAGGCCTGTTTCAGGTGCCTCCTCCTTCATAAGGCCTTCCCCAAATATAGGGAAATCAGAGACCATCTAGTCCAGCCCCATCCCGCCTCTCTCCATTTTACAGAAGTGGGAACTGAGGCCCAGAGAGGGGAAGAGATTTGCCCAGGGTGACACAGTCAATCTCTAATTCAAGATTCAAACCTAGGTTTTCCTGACTCCAAGGCCACTGCTTTAACCAGATAAGGAAGAAGTGGCTTATAAAGTGGCCGCCTGCCTCAGGATCCTGTAGCTGGCTTTGCAACAGTTATCTGGCATCTGCCCCAGAACCACAGCTCTCTCTGGGGGAGCTAGAAAGAGGTGTCTAGGGGCATTCTTTTGCCACTCTTTGCCAAGATATCTGCTAAGCAGGGGTGGGAGGGGGAAGTGCTTTATAATCTGCAAGGTGGGATTGGGGGAGTAGTGCAGGGAGCCAGTGTTTATTTCTGTCCTCCCCCTCCACCCCATCCCCTGCATAGGGTCAAAGCTTAGGAAGTCTTGGTTCACTGAGTAACTGAGAAGGGAGCAGGACCTTAAGAGAGGTCCCTCTGGGCTTCTTCTCCCTGCCCCCTCCGACGGGGAACAACTGAAAAGGGGAGGAAGAAGAGACAGAGGGAGAGAAGGAGACAAGACCACCGAGAGAAAGAGAGAGATGAAGGATTAGAGAGGATGATAGAACTGGGCAGAGAGACAGAGTGAATGAGCAAGAGAGATGTTCGAGGAAGAAAGAGAGGGAAAGACTATAAAAGTGGAGACAGGGAGTCAGACAGACAAACAGAGACAGAGAAAGAAAGAACAAGACTGCAATAGAAGGGAGAAACAGAAACAGTCTTGACATCCTAGAAAGAGACCCTATCCCCTCCGTGGGGGCACTATCCTACCTGCCAAGCTCCGGATCAGGGCTCTCCTTTCTCACCAAACAGGAACTTTGAATTGTCTGCTTGAATTGGCTGAAGCAAGGCTGAGCTTGGGGATTGCTGGATAGCACCTCTCTGGGCTGGGCTCTGGAAGTGTCTCAGGGAGGAGGGAGGCCCATTCTGGTCTGACCAGTCCCGTTCTGCCAACCTAAGGCCTTGCTTGGGAGGGCCGAAGGGGCATTTTGTGCCACCGAGGCCTCGTGGTTGTCGTCCCAGGGAAAGTTTGGGCCACCGAACTGCCCTCCTACTCTTTCCTGGAATGTGTCAATGCGAGGAGGTGGCATTGGGAGGGCTGCCTATGCAAGGGACCTGGGAAACAGGTTTCTCGGCTTCCTGGGGGTGGATTGGTCCAAGAATGAAGGCAAGGGAGGAAGGGCCCCACCTTCTCTAGGACTGACACTCACACACATACACACAACATAGATAAACACACACACACACACACACTCACACACACACACAGATTATATGCCACGCATGCTGATCTACAAGGCTGGCTTGTTCCTGCTTTTAGGGGACATTTCACTGAGCTCCCTCCACTGATCTCCCGGTCAAACACCTTCCATCCCGCTCCCCTGTCTGAGGACCCTTTGGCCTGAGAGGTCAGACCCCTAGTCCTCTTGAACTCCTCTGGCAGTAATTAACACACTCCTGCGTGGTTATATCCTCCCCATCCCTGTGATCCCGAACCTCCCCTTAGCCCCATCTTTATACAAACCCTGCTCTTCATTCTCCACTACTCTCTCCCTTATCTGAATCCCCTTCATTCATCCTCTCAGTGTTTCACTCTGAAGCTACCGGGTTCGTGGTGCCCTCTGGAATGCCTGCTCCATTGGCAACAAACTTGCTTTCATCCTAAATCTTTTCCTTTCTGCTCCTTCCAAATATGGTTCTCACTGAGACTTGGTTTCTTCCTGACGACACAGCCTCCCTGGCTGTCCTTTCTTACACTGGGTGCTTTTATCAATCACTCCCTTTGGCTCAGTGGTCAAGGGGGGGAGAATTGGGATACTCCCCATTGTACTTCCAGAGTACCCTCTCCCAGCATCACTCAGTCACCTCTCCTCCTTTGAGGCTCACTCAGTCCATATCGACCATCCAATCACTACAGACTTCCAGGATGCTCCCTTTCTTTCCTTAATGAGTCAGGGCCTGGCTCACAGTCTCTGTCCTCCCCAGCTCCTGCCCTCATCCTACAAGACTTCAACCTATGTCTTGGTGCTATCGCAAACATCATAATCTCAGTTCTTCACCTTACTCATTCCCCATGACCTTCTCTTCCACCCCACCTTAGAGATGGCCATCCCCTTCATCCTTCTATCAGCAGGCTCAAATTGTGTTAGCCTTGGGGAGGAGGGGGATTTTGAATCATGGAGCACCACTCTGGGTCTGGGAGGGTATACAGAGCATGTTGTGGGAGGGACCACATTCACTGGAATGTCAAATGGTTGCCCAAGTGGCAACTCTAAGTACCCATACTTAGAAGGGAAATGCCTGTGGGTTCCTTGGGCATTCCTGGTGCTGTGTGTTTTCTGCATCTGTAGATGGGAGAGTGAGTAGATCTTGTCTCTTGCCTTTGTCTTCAGTGAAATAAAGCTATCCTCTTCTGGCATGCATCCTTCAATGATTGTGCTGGAGCCAGCATTTGGGGAAATGTAGACATGAGTTCAACCTACATGATATTTGGAGACATTTCCTAGAGTAAACTCTAGGTTGGAACAATGACACAAAAGAGAACATGACCCCTTTGGGGAGGCCCCCAGGATCAGACCTGGTTGATGTGAGCTCAGAGTTTCAGAAATGGGCACTGGGCTTTGGGTTCCATAGACCAGAATGGTTCATGGTGGTAGCACAAGGCAGGATAATTCAATGGAAGGACCCTTGCACTTGGAGTCAGCAGACCTGAATCCTAGTGCTGGCTTTGCTGTTAACTTGATTGGTGACCTTGGACATGCCTCATTACCTCAGTTGCCTCATCTGTGAAATGGAATTAACCAATCTTGTCCTACTTAGCTTCTGGGGTTTAGAATCCCTGACTTCTTGAAGACACAGCTCAAACGCCACCTCCTCCAGGAAGTCTTTCCCAGTAGTCACTCCCACTCTCAGCTGTTTGTGTCTTTCCCTCTCTGATTACTTTCCATTGACACAGTTTGTATCTTGTACGTAGCTAGCCATTTACGTGTTGTCGTCCGCCCCAATAGAATGCCAGCATCTTGAGGGCAGGGACTGTGATTTTTGCCTTTCTTTGTATCCCCAGATCTTAGCACACTGCCCAGCATGTAGAACAGGCTTACTCAGTCCTTGTTAACTGGTTGGCTTGATGAAAGGATTTGGAAATATTTAGGCCTAGGAGACACCTCAGTGGTCATTCAGTCCAGCCCCCTCATTTTACAAAAAAAGGAAACTGAGGCGCATAGAGGACATGGGACTTGGCCAAGGTCATACATTAAGTCAGTCGCTAAGCTGAGACTAGAACCCGGATCTCCTGCCTCCCAGGCCAGGATTTTTGGCTCTCTCCCTCCGTCTCTTGACTTTGCAATGGGTCTGTCTGGGATGTCATCCTTTTATAATCTCTGAGAAGGAGTTGTTTGACAGCACCCTTGAACTCTGGAATTGATGTGTCTGTGGATTGACAGGTGAGAGAAGCCAGTGTTTGATGACGCGACCTTTGGAGCAGTTTTGGTGCATGTCTGGAGCTGTGGTGGCTGAGATCAGGCCTCGGAGGCGATCTGCTACAAAGATGGGGCCAAACTCACCAGGAAAGAGCTCCCCAATGTGCCGTTTTTCAGTCAAATCCAGGGGAAGGGAGAAGCTTTGAGCCTGGGGCTCACGGACTGCACTGGCCCCGGGGGCATAGATCTGGATCTGAGCCCCAGCTTAGACACTCAGCACCTTGCTTCCCCGCTCCTACCCTCAGCTTCTTTGTCTGCAAATTGGGGGAGTGGTATTTGTGCTGCCTCCATCACAGGGTGATTATGAGGGAAGAATAAAAAATGATAGGGGTGGTGCCCTTGATGGTAATGGGGAGAGGAAAGGGGTTTGGGAAGATGAAATGGAATGTGAAGAGAGAGAGAGAGAAAGAGAGAGAGAGACAGGGAGAGGGGAGAGAGACAGAGACAGAGACAGAGGAGAGAGACAGGAGAGACAGAGAGGGAGAGAGAGAGGGAGAGAGAGAGAGAGAGAGACAAGGAGAGAGAGGGAGAGGGAGAGAGAGAGGGGGAGAGAGAGGAGAGAGAGGAGAGACAGAGAGGAGAGACAGAGAGAGAGAAGAAGAAGAAGAAGAAGAAGAAGAAGAGGAGGAGGAGGAGGAGGAGGAGAAAGAGAGACAGAGAGGGGGAGAGAAAAAGAGAGAGGGAGGGAAGGAGAGAGAAAAAGAGATGGGGAGGGGAGAGACAGAGACATATACAGAGAGAGACTGAGGGGATCAGGAAAGGCTCTAGGGGCTAAGTAACTGTGGGACAATGAGAGCACGGGCCTGTGAGACTTATTGCCAAGTGAGCAGGTTTTATCACTGAGGTGCTCAGGATTCTGGGAAGGTGGCCATCGGTGTGGGCTGGCGTGATCTGGGAAGACTTCCTGGAGGAGGAGCCAACCCTCGGCCTGGGCTTTGCTGTCCTTGCCAGAACTCGAAGGGGCCAGTTCCTCCTTGGAGCAGATCCAAAGGACCTTTGTCTCTGGGCCCAGAGTTCTCTGTTGCTGCTTCCTGCTGATTTTTCTTGGTCCCTGGGCGCTGGGCTCTCAGCCCCTCACGGCCTTGTACCCCTTCCCCTGCCCCTCCTCCACTGCTGGACACCCTAAGGACATCGCTCCCTCATTCCCTTCTCCAGTCTGTCTCTGTCCCCTGCAGCCCCACCAGGGAGCTCTCCAGGACCTGCTGATAGGGGAGGAAGAACTATGGATTCAGAACTAATTCCCAAGGGGAAGGTCATCGGACATGAAGATAAGAAAAATGATCCAGGTCCAGACATGAGCAGGGTGGTCTAGCGAATACAGCACTGGACTTGGAGTCAGAAAGACCTGGGTTCAAATCCTGTCTCAGATACTTACTAGCTGAGTGACCCTAGGCAAGTCACTTAACCTCTGTCTGCTTCAGTTTCCTCTTCTGTAAAATGAAGAGGTTGCCTGGGAACAATTAGCTGGATCAGGGGATAGACCTCAGGGAATGAAGTTAGGAAGACCTGAGTTCAAATCCAGCCTCAGACACTTGCTAGCAGTGTATCCCTGGGTAAGTCACTTCACCTCTGTCAGGTTCAATTTCCTCACCTGTAAAATGGGAATAATAGCAGGACCTACTTCTCGGGGTTGTTGTGAAGATCAGATTAGATAATAATTGTAAAGCACTTAGCCAGTGCCTGGCACGTAGTAGGTGCTATATAAATGCTAGCTGTCACGATTGTTGTTATTCAGACACTTACCAGCTAGTGGGCTCCCTGGGCCTCAGTCTCCTCATTTGTAAAATGAAGAGGTTGCCTAGAAGCAGCTAGGTGGTACAGTGGATAGAGCGCTTGGAGTCATGAGACCTGGGTTTGACTTCTGCCTTAGTCACTTTTTAGCTGTCGCTTCATCACCACGTGCCTCGATTTCTCCATGTGTAAAATGAGGAGACTGGACCTGATCACCCCTGAGGTCTCTTCTAGCTGTATATTTATGCTCCTATGATTCTCAGTCACTCCAGCCAAGCTTGACCCCACAATGCTCTTTAGGGCAGGCACTGCCCACCCTGGCACTCAGTTCCCTTGGTGCCATATGAGAGAACAGCATCTCCTCATCCCAACACCCCTCCCTTATCTGGTACACTCTCACCTTGGTGCTGTGGATCACTGAGAAGCCCAGGAAGCTGTGGATTGTCCGGGGTCCCACAGCAGGACAGGGAATGAATTGGGACCAGAATCCAGGTTCTTAGAGGAACCATGGAAGACCAGAGCTGGAAGGCATCTGGTGCAGCCTCCGGGGCTTCTGGGGGACAAAGCACTTTGCCCACGGCCTTATGAGATGGAGATGCAGGAGTCAGATTCAGGGCTGCTGAGAACAAAGCCTTTGTTCTTTAGGCCCAGGTTACTTTCAGCTAATCAGGAGAGGGAGAAGCCCTCCTGGCCCCTCTCCAGCTCTGGAACTTTCTGGACCAACACACTCCTCTCTGGTCACCCCTTCCCTGTGTGTTGTTTCCGGTTGGAATGAAACCTCCAGGAGGGCAGGGGATGGATTTTCTTTTTTGTTTATATACCCAGGGCTTAGCACAGTGCT